TATTAATCCACATTATCAGGATTTATTGCTTACCCCGAATATTAAGAATAGAATATCCACTCGATTTCAAATGACAATTCCCTAGCGAATATGTCACGTAAATCGTATTCATAAATGCAGTGGATAGATATTATTTGACATATACGCCATGGAATTGACATTTGTCATCGAGTGGAGTTCGTAAATGTAAGCCCTAATTCCTTTACATTTAATCAGCATTGTCTCAACTGAGATACATTTCCACGTTTCTAAAGTAACACTGGTTAAATCCTGATTGTACAAAATACTTAGTACATACTTTTGAGTGCGATTGAGGCGCTGGGAAAATAAAAATAAATGGTCTAAAATTAAATATTTCCCAGCCGTCATAAAATATCACATATGAAGAATTCAGTGATCTTGTGCGCTGACGCATACGATAATGTGTGAGATAATAAAGGTTATGACCCACAGGCACAGATATCGATGCGCTCAGTAGATGCACAAGACCACTTGAATGAAATTACAAGCAGCCCTTTGCAGCAATTTTCTCCATTCAATATTAGAATAGATAAGAACAATTGTGTGGCTGCGACTAGGTTAAGTTAGATTAGTTTCAGTAGTACGTAAGGAACATATTTCTTAAATAAAATCAGAATTGAATTTACAGCCAAACCATTAGGTCGGTTTTCTCTTCTCACTTATTGGTCATTCGAGCCTTCACTTTTGTCAAAGTGAAAGGATCTAGCGACTTTTAGAAGAAAATAGTAGGAGTTTTCCCCCACCAGTGGTAAGAGACTCACTACAAGCAGAAGTAGCTATTCTTCAAAAAAGAGGAGAATAGCTACCAGTAAAAATCAATTGAGGGATAAAATTATAAAGAGCCATAAAGGCAAAATTTAAAAAATATATATATATTTAAAAAAAGACCCACGGGCAAATTAAAAAAAGAGGACAATAACAATCCCACATAAAAATATACAATTTTGGAAAAGAGGACATCAAAGTCCCAACTGAAAAAATCAAAAAATCGAAAAAAGCCAAGAAGGCAATATAAAAAAGTTTTGAAAAGAGGACAAATAGTCTTATTTAAAATATTTAAATTAAAAATGAATAAAAAAGTGGAAGAAGATATTACCACTTTGGTAGACTATTTCCAGTCATTAACTTCGACGTCAGCCTTTGAAAAGGTGAAACACGTCGCGGCATGGAAGATACTGGTAAAAAATTCATATTACCAGTTACGACGGTACTTGAGGGTTCACCACAAATACTTTCCAACCCATATGAAGACATTGTGCTGTGATGTGGATATGTGTATGTTATCAGCAATGAAGCTTTTAGCAACCCGGAGTCGAAATAACACAGACTTGGACATCGATGAAGAAATCGAAGATTCGATGAAACCCCCATTACGATGGACACTGGAAGAAAACAGACAACTTAACTATGTCAAAACAAAGGAAGATTACGACAGAGAATTAGAAGATGGTTTGGGTCCAGCTCTATATATATATATATATATATAAAATTGTACATTTGACAACATCTCAATATAAAAGTGCTTTGGCATTCGTTTTTATACCTTACGATTTTGATAAATTTTGTCAATTCAAAATGCTCTCTTGACATAAAAGAAAAAACTAAAAAGTCGCATAAAAAGATGCCAGTAATGATAATACAAAGACAAATATATATATATATATATATAATACAAATATGATTCTTTGTCTGTCCGTTTGTGGAACTCACTCTAGCTTCCGAACGAAATGATGTGGGTTGATAACATTCTACTCAAATGTATATTATATCTGCAGGACTTTTGGTATTGAAAATGGCCCGTGTAGGTCCACGTTTTGGTATAGCCCCCATATAACGGTATCCTTGATACTCTGTATTTTGAACATTTTAGCGACACCTTTCACCGGGATTGTTTCAAATTTGGTATTTGATATACGTAATGGATGCTACGGCCCATGACAGGAGATTGTCTGTGCAGGTCCACGTCTTCGTATAGCCCCCATACAACGGTACCTCCCGATATTCGATATTTTGATGATTTTAGCGACATTATTCACCGGAATTAATTTCAATTTAGTATTTGAAGTTCGTAATGGATACTACAGCCTAAGACAGAAAATTGTCTGTGCAGGTCCACGCCTTCGTATAGCCCCCATATAACGGTATCCTTGATATTCTGTATTTTGATCATTTTAGCGACACCTTTCACCGGGATTGTTTCAGCCTAAGACAGAAAATTGTCTGTGCAGGTCCACGTCTTCGTATAGCCCCCATATAACGGTATCCTTGATATTCTGTATTTTGATCATTTTAGCGACACCTTTCACCGGGATTGTTTCAAATTTGGTATTTGATATATGTAATGGATGCTACGGCCCATGACAGGAGATTGTCTGTGCAGGTCCACGTCTTTGTATAGCCCCCATATAAGGGTAACTCCCGATATTCGGTATTTTGATGATTTTATCTACATTATCACCGATTTTTTTAGTTTCTCATTTGAATATTGTAATGGCTTATGGCAAATGTTACCTATGCAGGTCCATGTTGTCGTATAGACCCTAATATAACAGCCACATTCGGTATTTTTAAGATTTTAACAGAATTAACGGATTTAAATATTCCATAATATAGGTAAAATCTCGAAATTTTTATGAGAATTAGGTTTGGCTACAAAATTTGGTACAATTGTTTTTGGAGAACGAATGGAGCTGGATATAATGAAAAAGTCGTAAAAGTTAATAAATATTAAACATGTAATATCGGGGTATTCGAACACATGGAACCTTGAAATGTTGTAATCAAATAACATGTAATCCAGACTTTCGGAAATTCGTACTAAATGTATACGAAATATAATATAAGTTTACAACTTTTTTTTCAAAAAATGTAAAAAAATTGTCCTTATATAGATCTCAGCATATGAAATACAACTATTTCGTAGGTTCTTACAAATTGGATAATGTTGACTCATTTCTTGATCTTGGTGTCATATTAGACAATAAATTACGTTTCAATTTACATATTGAGTCTTGTGTTAATAAAGCAAAGTCTTTACTAGGATTTATAAAACGTTGGTCAAAGGAATTCGACGATCCTTTGTAACCAAACGCTTATTTATCAGCCTTGTTCGACCTACTTTAGAATATGGCTGCATAATTTGGAATCCTTTCTATAAAATATATTCAAAAAAGATAGAGTCTGTACAGGTTCAATTTCTTTTGTTTGCTCTGAGAGGTTTAGGATGGAATTCAAATGAACTTCTCCCACCTTATGAGAATCGGCTTAAACTTATCGATCTTCCTACACTAGAAAAAAGGAGATTAATGCTTAGATGTATTTTTATCATCAAACTTTTGCGTTGTCAAATTGATTCTGAGTTTTTAACTGGTGAAATTAAATTCAATGTCCCCTCGCGAAATACGCGTTATTACATACCACTGAAACTAACATTAGCAAAATCGAACTATGAAATAAATAATCCTCTCCGAAGTTTATGTGCTGATTATAATAAATTCAAAGAAAACATACAACACGATTTCTTTGTGTGAATCCTTGCATGTCATAAAAAACTCTATCCTACGTTCTTAGTTTATAAAATAGTTAATAGTAGACTTAGTTTCTGTGATTTAATATTTGTAGTTTAGTTTAGATACTTTAATTCTTTTTAATTGTTAAACCGGCTGATGTTCTAATGTAGCCGGTTTCCCAAGTCTACTAACCCCCTATAATCCGGACTATGGGGTGTACGTGCTCCCTACGTTATGGGGATGTGTCCCTCTCGGTCGGCAGGGGCGGGAAAGTGAGGCGTTGGGAACGATCGAAAAAAATTGTACATTTGACAACATCTCAATGTAAAAGTGCTTTGGCATTCGTTTTTATACCTTACGATTTTGATAAATTTTGTCAATTCAGAATGCTCTCTTGCCATAAAAGAAAAAACTAAAAAATCGCATAAAAAGATGCCAGTAATGATGTTAATATAGATTTTGTAGTATTTTGTGAAATTTTTTAATTTTTCGCATGCGATTTTTTCAATTTGACTTATAATATTGAAGTGAATATTTTGTAATATTTTTACACCTTACAACACAGGTTGGGGTTATTATATACAGATTGCAATTATCGTCCGATCCTCACGAAAATTTTCACAAGTTTAGGCTTTTTCTCAGAAGGGATAGGCCTATTGTTTTCAAAGATGTCCGCAATATATTTAGGGGTTGAAATGGATAAACAACTAAACGTGTTCCTGATTTTGCAGCCGTTATAAACGTCACAAATAGAAACGAAACAAACGACACGAAATCTCGCATGAAGTTAGGGTTTAGGTTGTGTAAAAAAAATACATACTATTCTACCGAAAATAAATTACAGGCGATATCCAAAATACATAAAAAAGGCGAACTTCTGGCTTTTTATGCTGATTTCGTTGACGAATATAGCCACATATCGTAGACAAGCAAATCATATATATGAGTCTAAATTTATTGCTTTTGGAGATGACCGCAAAATATTTAGGGGTTTCAAATGAACCAAAAACAGAAAAAATTTCCTGATCACACAATTGAAACCAATCGACACGCTTGAGAAGAGAGTTCAGGACTGGGAAGAGTTCTAGCGTTTTGGATGACCATTGCGCGACGGAGTGCGTAAATATTGGACAAATGTCCCTGGTAAAAATGCTAAGGGTAATATCTGGGCAGCGAAATCGAAATCTTCCAAATTGGCTTTAGACATAAAGGCGCTTCTAACATATTGTAGTGTCGTAGGGTATCATATTGTCGGCCCCGCACTGCTATGCTTTCTTGTTATATATACGATGTTATGTATACAAAAACATTTGTCAACTACGTTTCGAACTTGAATTTGAATAAATCAATTAATTTTGGATTTGGAATTATGAGATCGTGTTTTATTTGCAATTTTAGCTTGATAGATACCCGTTAGCATTGCAGACTTGGTTATATCGACTCCAAAAGTAAAATGAAAATGCTTTCCAATTGTAACCACACCATTTCTAAGTAAATTTATTTTGTAGAAAATATTGGAATAATTTCCTACTCTAATGTTTATATAAATAACGGAAAAAAATGTAATATATATGCACATAAGTAAATGCTTCTAAAGGCACCGTATGATAAATCTGCTTTGAATATATGAATATTAGTTTATAATTACATAAGAATATACAAATTTATGGGGCCAGTCAGTATTCAAGATCTATATCAGGTAGTCTGGTTAGAGGTCAGCGATAAGTAATGGTTTTTATTTTCCTGGTTGTGGAATTTTGTAATTACGCTGTCTCAGCTCTCTCAAAATGCACATGCCATGGCTGTGGGCATTTTCACATCTAGAATTATTTTTTGAAATAAAATCGTTATGTCTCCTAAGTGAGGTGATATACTTACTTCTCTGCTATTCCCTCGTTTTCTATGTTGCAGATTTTCACAATTTCTTCCAAGTCATCCTTGCCATCGGTGTACATCATAGAAAGCATATCGACAGTTTTTTCCTCGTCCAATGTTGTTGAGCCCTCAGCAATCTTTTGAAAATAGTGGAAAAATATTAAATAATTGAAGTAATAGGAAGGTTATGGGCCAAAATGGAATACAATTAAACTATTAAATGATGAAACAGTTCCATTCGAATTTTCCTATTTTTTATTAAAGAAAAGATTTTTTATATTTTTTCGAATTACAAATATAGACACATCAAAAACGAAAATTCAAGGAAAAGAAAAAAGAATTTCAAACGGAATACAATAAATGCAAATGGAATACTTAAATAACAATTAAAATGTTTCAAATTACGTCGGTGTAGTGACAAATAAATTAAATTAATATATAAATAAATTAATGAGTAAAGTTGTTAATGAGTTCTAAATAGAGGTATTCATTTGCTCTTTTCCCGAACTGCAAGAATTAACTAGCTTTTAATTTTTTTTCTAGTCATCGTAAAGCGAAAATCGGTTATCTTAGTAAAAACTTGTACATTCTTGCAGTTCTGGAACAGTGTAATTACAAGTTATTTGCATATCCATATTTACCAATTCAAATTCATGCATGAGACAATGTCTGAAACACTTCGAGCTTTGATGGGGGTTCTCGTCGTTCTTAATCAATTGCCTAATGTGTTCTGAAAATGTTCGATTTTAACTTATTCGGGTGAATAAAATAAATAGCACATTTATGTACCTCTGTCCGGTTTGGGGTCACAATTTTCACCGAAAGGTTCTAGGGCATCGATTAATTCCTCAGAGGTCATACCAATGTCGTCATCATCGTCATCGGCCTGAAAATATATTTCATAGTTCAAAACATAGTAAAACATTGAGTAAAAATTAAATTATCATAGATTTCTTCATCGAATTTTTCTTCGTTGTTAGGGTTAAACTTTGCCATAATTTGCCCAATGTAAGATATAAACTCATGATACAAAAGCCAATTACTAAGGTCTGACAAATATTTACAATTGAAATTGTAACTACCTCACTTGGAGACCTTTGGGTCCATTGTGATCATCCTGCATGAAAAAGAATAGCAAGAACGAACAAGTAAGAAATCTGTTAGTTCAGCCGGGCCGAACTTTGAATACTCTACACCATTTGGAACAAAATTAGCAATTTAAAAAAAAAAAAAAAATAAATAAAATAAATAAATAAAATAAAGTCCTTAAAAAATTTTGCTAAAATCACAAAAATTCCGAATGTAGCTGTTATATTAGGGTCTATACGACGACATGGACCTGCATAGGTAATATTTGTCATAAGCCATTAAAATATTCAAATGCGAAACTTAAAAAAAAAAAACGGTAATAATGTAGCTAAAATCAAACAAACACCGAATACCATTATATGGGGGCTATACGAAGACGTGGACCGACACAGACAATTTTCTGTCATAGGCTGTTATATCCATTACGAACCAATTTTGAAACAATTCCGTTGAATAATGTCGCTCAAATCATGAAAATACGGAATTTTGGGAGTTACCGTTATATGGGGACTATACGAAGACGTGGACCGGCACAGACAATTTTCTGTCTTAAGCCTGTAGTATCTATTACGAACTTTAAATACCAAATTTGAAACAATTCCGGTGAATAATGTAGCTAAAATAATCAAAATACCGAATATCGGGAGGTACCGTTATATGGGGGCTATACCAAAACGTGGACCTACATGTCCCATTTTCAATACCAAAAGTCCTGCAGACATAACATACATTTGAGTATTTTTTATTTTATCAATCTTCTGCAATTCGTTCGGAAGCTGGTGTGTTTTCCACAGTCGGGCGGACATTGCTTAATCGACATAGAATTTTTTGCTGATAAAGAAGATATATACTTTGTGGGGTCTAAAATGTATATTTCGAGGTGTTACAAACGGAATGACAAACTTAATATACCCTCCATACTATCGTGGAGGGTATAAAATTTTTTGAGAGAGAGATTAAAGGTGAAAGATCTTTAGTTTTAACTCCGACGCCAAAGCCGTTTTGTGAAATTAGCGATGACGAAGGGATCCGTGTTGATAGAGCAGGACAATGACATAGAAGTTCAATCGTTTTATTTTCTCCCTCATCCTCATACAGCCTACAGTATTCAACGTTAGAGTTATCCCATTTGGACGTATTTGATGGGATGATTTGGTGGCCTGTTTGTATCCCTATTGATATCCGTAACGTTGAATTATTCATGGTTAATAGAGGCTGGGTTCTACGCGAGGATATATCTGCCCAGATTTGTTTTGATACCTTACACCGTAGTTCGGTGTACCAGCACACTTTGCCTTTCTCCCTGGAGAATGAATATGACGAAGAGGAGTTATAACATGTCGACGACTATTTATGTCGACTGCAAGCCCATCATTGCCAATCCATCAACTTTTTTATTCCGTTCAATATTAAAATGACCAGATACCCAGCAAAGCCGGTGTGCAGATTTCCCAAAGCTGTTCTATACCTCAGAACTGCACAGAAATTGAATGTAAAAGATTGGTTGGTACAACTTGAAGGGTAGCGAAGTTGTATGCTTCGGCCATTAACGATACAACTTTGTGTACAACCTCTTTGTACAACTTCACTTTTCGTAGATTTTGTGTGCAACATGCCCACAAACGTTACAATCGGTTGGTACAATTTGATTTTATTTTTTGTACAACTGAGATACAAGTTTGTACAACCGGCCTGCAAACGATTCAATCTTGAATACAACCTCTCCAGTAGTATCGTGCGTGGCTTGCATAAGAGCCGCTTGACTATCTACATAAATAGTCACCGGTTCAGTTATTTCATTCTCCATAATTTTAATCAGTTCATGATCTCTTCTTCAAAACACTGTTCTGTATATTTCTATACTCCGGCGCCCGGACCTGTTTCCATCTTTGATCCTTCTGTATATATCGGAGACCGATTAGTGGTAAGTTGCTCCGTTCAATTCATCTCTGCTTGGAATCAGTATCTCAGTTCTGTCATGGTTGGTGATATGTAATCGATGTTCCGTTTATAAGGGTTGAAGGTTAATTAAACTCTTAGAAAGCCAAGAAAGCTGGCATAATCCTGTCGTGTAGTATGCAGCGGCCTGGTACTAAGTTCAACAAATGCTATGTTTAAGGTGTATTTTTTGATGCGGCCGCGGTTAGGATTAAAGCTGCTCACTGTAAGCTTGAGAGTTTCGAGCTATTTAAGTTTATCATTCCGTTTGTAACACTTCGAAATATACATTCTAGACCCCACAAAGTATATATATTCTTGATGAGCATCAAATTTTATGTCGATATAGCGATGTCCGTCCGTCTGTGAAAACCGCTCCAGCTTCCGAACGAAATGAAGTAGGTTGATAAAATTTTATTAAAATGAATATTATCATTTTGGCGATTTAAGCGACGTTATTCACCGGAAAAGTTTCAAATTTTGGTATTTGAAGTTCGTCATGGATACTACAGTCTATGGCAGAAAATTGTAAATGCAGGTTCACGTCTTCGTATAACCATCATATAACGGTACCCTCCGACGTTCCGCATTTTGATGATTTTAGCGACATTATTCACCGAAATTGCTTCAAATTTGGTACTCGAAGTTCGTAATGGATGCTACAGCCTATGACAGGTCCACGTCTTCGTATAGCCTCCCATATAACGGCATCTCCTGATATTCGGTGTTTTGATGATTTTAGCGACATTATTCACCGGAATTGTCTCAAAATTGGTATTTGAAGTTCGTCATGAATACTACAGGCTACAGGACAGAAAACTGTCTGTGCAGGTCCACGTTTCGGTATAGGCCCCATATAATGGTACCTTTCTATATCCGGTACTTTGATGATTTAAACATTCTTCACCGATTTCGCATTTGACTATTGTGTTGACTTATGACAAAGGTTGCCTATGCAGGTCTACGTTGTCGTATTGACCCTAATATAATGGATTTTATTTTTTTGAAAATTGCCAAAATCGTTCGGCCCGGCCGAACTTACAGTTTTTTTACTTGTTTACGCTCCAAAATTGTGTAGATATAAAGAGAGAGCTTAAAGGACACTCCATCCACGACTGCTGGAACGAATTGATCTGGCTTGCGCTACGTGTGACCAGTGCCAATTCTGTCATTGTTTGGTTGGACCTAAAGCTGTTGCCCATCGAGACAACTTTGTAAGTTCTCACTGCATAAGATCTGACACTGTGGTTTCCCCGTAATTGTTGAAAATTTAAAATATTCTCTTGGAATACAGAGGAAAGTAACGATTTTTAAAGCAATTCCAATTCAATAAAATCACAACGAGGTGAATTTAGACCCAAGATTTCTCTTGCTATACGCAAAATTAGTATTTTGCTTTTCTGGGTTTTTACGACAAAATGGAATTTTCCAATCGCCAGATGAGTCCTGTTGTTTTGTATAGTATATATAGACGAAATAAATTCCAAAATAAAGCAATACGATATTTCGGAGATGCGTTACCGCAATACTTCGGTATACATACTGCTCATCAATGTATGGCCACGTAACCATCGCTAGGAATACCAGTTTTAACCGACTGATATTATGTATTTTAAAGATCTTATTTGATTTCAAAGTCAAGGACATAATTTTTGACCCGATATTAAAATTTCACACACTTTCACAAGTCTTTACACACATTGATACCATTTTCAGTATGTATCTGGTCACATAAGTTTTGTATTGCTCTATTTTGATTATTTTATATTAACTGTTTAACCTTATACCAGGGCTAGGCAGAGAGCCTCAAGATTTTTTTGTGATTGTATGTGTTTTGAAATAACAATATATTGCAAGTGTTTTTTGCCTCTCTTTACAGAGTGAGAAATAATTGGTTATCTTTAAATTTTCAATTTAAAATTTACCGTTGTAAAAGCAACTTCGTTGTTAAAAATTAATATTTTGATCAGACAATTCGGAGATATATTTGCAGTTATTTCAATTATGATTCATTTTAAAATAAAAAAATATAAAAGTTGACATTTTTAAAAAATTTATATAATTTTTATTAAAAAAATTTTAAAAAAAATTTATTAAACACCAATAATAATTTCGGACTTAACATCCTAACCATCTAAGTTGATCCTTTAAAAATTAATACCGATTACCACAGGCTGATAGTTATATAGTACGCAAATAGTTGTAAAATTTTATGCTGAAAAATTTTTATGTCGGAAAAAATTTTATGTCGGAAACGCATATCCTGCGTAGGGTCCACATCCTGTTATTTTCCCTAATATTGACTAAGAACGTACATATAATTTCATAGAAATCAAAGGATATGAAAATGTCCATTAATTTGTAAGGACAATAAATTTGTCTAACAATATGAAATAAATTTCTATTCCTAACATATGAATTAGTATGTAAATTTTGTCAAATAGAATTCAATTAAAAAAGATAAATCTTAAAATTTATAATTTTTACAAATTCGGAAATATTTGTTCCGAATATGTAGTAAGATATATTTGTGCTCCAATATTTCTTACGGTGTAGTCATAAAAATATCCGACAGCACCTTCCTCATCGACTGCTCGAATAAAACTAAATATTCTACCAAAACCAATTTGACATAAAATTCAAAACAATTTATTTTTTTCAATTGTGTTGGTGAACACACAGATATCCCAAGGGATACTCTTTGCCTAGCCTTGCCTTATACCGAATTTACATTTGCATTGAGGAGATTTTAGAATTGCTTAATTAATTAACTTTCTCAAACTGACATTTGCATTTTTTTAAAATTGTATCCTCTTGAATAAAATGGAATTCCCTTCCATGTAATATTTACTTACATAAGCGATCGCAATGAGACTTAAACAAATAAACAGATGTTTGCAAAAATGCATTTTTTTAACACTTTTTGCAATGTTAAAAAGTGTTAATTGAAACTATTTCAACACTGCCCCCTTTTTGCGTTCTATTGTCGGTCGATACGCTTAACGAAAACACAATAAATTTGAACTAATTTCCAACGAAGCGGTGTTCTACTTTTATATTCATTCCTTTTCGAATAATTTGATCATGCAAAAATAAAACGAATGTAAACTGATATCTGATTGGGGGCAACATGTTTTCGTCCATTACAACCGATATTTAAACATGCTCTCGATAAACTGTAGAAAGATTTTCATCGAATACAAATAAATTAGAATATTTATCCAATAAAAAATACAAACACACATATCGGCCGCATATATATGTGTCGTAGTTATTCCCACAATTGGTCAATTTCATCTCAAATTCATATAATTTATATTTGTAAATATTATTGATAGAAATCTTTAGATACGAAAAGTCGACATGTCTAATACAAATCTAGTTGTTAATTTTGAGAATAAAAGCGTTAATCATAAATCTGAATACTTGGGACACGTTTTTCAACACAAAAATTTAACATTGGTCCGTTGAGAACTGTAACGTTTAACTACAATATCCGATTTTCCTTTATGATATCGAAAAAATTGAAAAGCTAGTAGATTCTTGCAGGTTCTTCTTGCATAAGTATTTATTGGTATAAATGTAAATGCATAAATTCAAAGTTTCATAGACAAATAAAAGTTTAGACTCAACTAATTATATAAATTTTCAATGACTATTTTTTGGGAAAATTTTCAAGATTTTGTTGCATGCTTTTTTATTTTGAGATGTATTTTCCGATTAAAGTCTTTGTGCATTTGTTTGTAACAGGCAAAAGGAAACGAGATAGATACGTAGTTTCTTTTCATGATCTGCATAGAATCACATTCTGAGTCGATTTATGCATGTCCGTCTGTCCGTCCGTCTGTCCATTTATTACCTATCCAGATGAAATTTTGCACAAATCATTTGTTTGGCCCAAGGACGAATCCTATGAAATTGGAGATAATCGGTCAAAATTTAGATATAGCGCCCATATATATCTTCGTCCGATTTGCCTTTTATTGTGCACTAAACGTGTAATACCCGAATAGAATTTTGCACCGACAACCAAATTAGACCTGAAAATAAGTATGCCAAATTTGATCGAAATCGGTTCAGATATAGCTATAGCTCCCATATATATTGTTCATCCGATTTGTTATTTTTGTCCTCCACAGCCGTAATATGCACTCTGTAACAACAATATTCGGGGAAATATATCAAATACAGCTCAGAAATAAATTTGCTAAATTTTATCGAGATCGGTTCAGATTTGGATATAGCTTCCATATATAACTTCGTCCGATTTACCTTTGATTGTGCACCAAACGTGTAATATTTGCCCAAATGGGATGGAATTTGACACTTACGACCGAATTGAGTCTAGAAGCTAGTATGTCAAATTTGATCGATTCAGATATATATACTGTCCATCCGATTTGTTATATTTGTTACCCACAGCCGTAATATGAACTCCGTAACAACAATGTTCAGGGAAATATATCAAATACAGTTTAGAGATATCTTTGCAAAATTTTATAGAGATCGGTTCCGATTTGGATATAGCTCCCATATATATCTTTATCCGATTTCAAATTAATTTTGCACCAAATGGGCAATACGAGTCCGAATTTAAAAGATACAAATGCTTCGGCATATTTAGTCCTTTGAACTTTAAATTATAATTATATTCATGGCGTGTATGATTGAATTCTCGTATAAAAACTTTTAATTGTTATGCCGAGCTCTACTAAATTAGCAAAGTGGTGTAGGGTATCATAAAGTCGGCCCCGCCCGGCTTTAAGACTTTCTTTACTGGTTTTTTCTTTAAAATTGTATCCAAGCGTTAATGTATATACCTGTATTCTTTATCATGGCTTGTACCTTTTGATCTGTTCCAGAGCCTGCAAGAACCTACCAGTTTTGCAATTTTTTTCGATATCATAAAGGGGAAATCGATTATCCCAGCAATTTTTTGACGTTCTTGCAGTTAAATGACGTTTTATTTAGTTATAATTGGTAAAACAAATTAAGGCTATGTTCCAGAATCTACTATTTATGCATTTTTTTTTCGATATCTTAAAGGGAAAATCGGCTATCGTTGTAAAAACTTTTACATTCTAGCAGTTCTGGAACAAACCATAAGTAAGAACTTGATAATATTGAAAAATGTTCATTGCTTTTATTTGTGTTTCTTTATGATACAGACTTTGCGTATTTGGGTAATAGTATTTTCGTACCTATTTTAGTAAAGAGGCATAGGGAGGAAGAGAAAGAGACATTTTCAAATTTTATATTTATACTTTTTATAGCATATTTTCAAGCACTCCCAATAATTTTAAAAAACATACTACGTAAAAATGCTAATTTATGAAATACTAGCTGACCCTGTCCGCGTTGCCGGCCCGTAGTTTTAGTCTATTATGCATATTTGTCAAAGCATAATTATTCAAAGATATGACTGTTATAAGTGTTCATGTACTGGTCGATTAATTTTTAGTTTTTAGTCAAATGAGCAGTAATTTGGAATTTACTGTATTTTGTACACCTCATAATTGAGGGCTGAATGATTTAAGAATAGTCAAAGTTAATTACTTTTTTAAACCCATTAACACCTCAGATTGTGCATTAGAGTTCTCATAAGTCCGCCAAAAGGTGGACTTGTGGGGGTACTATTACATGGAGAAAATTCTAAAATTTGTAGATATGTTGAAATTTTTGTGTACGATTTTTTTATTTGTCATTTAAATTGTAAATTGGAGACGCCATAAAGTCCATATTTTTCATCATAGTATAATTCAATGACGATTCAACAAATATTCGGTCCCGTGCTACTTTCTTATATTTATAATTTGTTCTTGTTTTTCACAATATATTTGATTTGGGATGTACATCTATTTCTACGTTCCCAACCAATATTCTCTTGAGGGTTACAAATTCAATAGAATACAAAATTTTCTTTTCTGACCACACATTAGATGTGAAAGTGGACTTGGGATACTCCAATGTGGGGACTTTACATAAATAAATTTCTATGTGGCAATTATCTGTACGATGGTTCCTTACGCCAGGGTAGCATAAATACAATTTTTTAGTGGTCAAGACCAATATGGGCCCTACTCCGAGAATTTTCTACTCGTTTAGAAACAAAGATGCCAAATAAGGGCCAAAAATAGAAGAAAATGACGAAGACTCCAAAAATAGCATAAATCATACAATGGTTATTTATGATCGATATCATATATCATATTGCAGGTCATGCAAAAGCGATTTAAGGTATCTTAAATGTTCGGGAAGAATTTTTGGAAGGATAGAAATACTTTTCTTATTAAAAGTCCCATTCGCTCTACTATTTTGCACCCTTTATATTTGGTACTTTACTGATTGTAGTCCCAAAAATTTTTGCATTTTGAGCTCTCATTGGACGGATTATTGTCACATGAAAGAAGTAGGTCCACGCTTTGAAATGAGCCCCATTAGTCTTTTTCGGTCATTTTTGTTTGTTTAAATGTCTGCGCATCTTCCAGCTGAAGCACGATGTAGGCCCTGGAGTTGAAAGGTAGATGTTAGTTACAATCGTATTTCGCACTTATTTCATTTTTTGGTGAAAAATTGTATATAGTGAAAAATTATTCTTTATTTTGTTCACAAAAAATCCACTGAATTCAATATGATAATACAAATTGAAAAAAAAAATGACAAAAGAATAATAACAAATTAAAAAAATCTTCAACTTGTTCGCTGATTTTTTACAGCAACTGTTTAAAGACAAAGTTTGTCAATAGAATGTACTTTTATTTTAAAATTCAATTCCATTGGACATTTTTTTCGATATTTTCCCGTTTTGAGAATTTTTGTAATGAGATCTCTTTTTTCGTAATTTTTTTTAGCGATTTTGAAAAGGTTATTATCTTCTAACTTTGGTGTGACCGCGTTAAATTATTTCGATATCATCTATTCCGTTTCGCCACCACATAATTCGGTACTTCACTTCCATGTAACCCGTCATCAATTTCAGTTCTCAAGAAATTAAGTCAATTAAATAAATTGATATTAATATTCGAATTCAAAAATAAAATATAAAAAACACTACAAATGTACATTAGAAAAAAGTAAGTCAAAATGGAAAAAATCATGCAAAATAAAACATTACTATTGTACATTTCAAAAGTCAAAATGAAAATGTTAATATATCACATTTTTACGTGATTTTTTTTTTGTATATTATCCTTTTCGGATAGGAGACAATTCCGAATTTGTATGAATCATTAAAATCAGTTCAGCGGTTCTTAAGTTATAAGCGTAGTAACTAACACAACTTTCATTTATATATATAGATAATACTGTGCGATAAATTTCAATTTTTCAATTATTACAGGAAAAATCATGTAAATAATGAAAATAGAGCTAAAATAAGAAAACACGTGTAATGACGCTTTGAAAGTTTACACCACAAAATAACCTAAATACAGGGGACAATTTCCCTCTTCTTACACACTTTTGGAAATTTTCGAATTTAGATTCCTCGAAATCTGTGTCATTTTATGTATATAGTGTCTTCGGCAACATTGCAGATAAAAATAATATTTTTATTATATTTTGGAATATATTGTGTTTTATACCCTACAACACTATGTGTTGGGGGTATTATAAGTTTGATTGGGCCAAAAATTATGTAACACCTCGAAATATTGGTTTCCCACATAGGAAAGTATATATGGATCTTCCTAGCTCGCCGAGCTGAGTCGATCTAGCTATGTATGTCCGTCCGTCCGTCTGTCCGTCTGTCCATGTTAATTTGTAATCACTCTACAGGTCGCAATTATGGCCCGATCTTCACGAAATTTAGAATAGAGGTGGGTCTGGGGTCAGAATAGAACCCTATTTCTTTTGGAGATGATCGCCAAATGTTTAGGGGTTGAAATGGACCAAATACTGAAAAAATGTCGGATTTTGCAGAAGCTATACAGGAATTTCGCATGTAGCTAGAGTTTAGGGCGGGGAAGAAGCCTACCAATTTGGGTGGTCATCGGATAATATTTAGCGGGTAAAAT